CCTGATAAGATGATTTCTCAGAGACACTAGTCTGCCATCTTCTCCATCTGCCGGCTTTCCTGATAAAGTCGTATTCCCTGCCTCAACACCTTGTCTGCGATTCATTGCCCTGTTGTGCGGTGAGCAGAGCGAGCTTGGACTCGGTAACAATTCCAAAAAATAAACACTTCTGATATGTCGAGGTTTTTAAGATTTTCAGTTTTATTTTTTTCTCAAAAGCCTAGTCATATTTTTTAAGACAGTTAATCTGTGAATAGAAAACCCTGAATCTTAAAAAAGCTAAGGGTTTGGGGTTTTTACAACTATATAACCTTCTGTACTTGCCTTTGAAGTCTTTACTTGTCACTTTGGTTAAATGGATATTTTTTAAAAATATTTATTTATTTATTTTGGCTGTTCGGGGTCTTAGTTGCTGCACGCAGGCTCTTAGCTGTGGCATGCATGCGAGATCTAGTTCCCTGACCAGGGATCAAACCCGGGCCGCCTGCATTGGGAGCGCAGAGTCTTACCTACCCACTGGGCCACCAGGGAAGTCCCTTAAATGGATATTTTTGACAAACTTCCCCCAAATCAAATTCTTTCTTTTTTTAATATATCCAATTTAAAAAAAAATTATTTATCTATTTTTGGCTGTGTCGGGTCTTCGTTGCTGCGTGCGGGCTTTCTCTAGTTGCTGTGAGCAGGGGCTACTCTTCTTTGTGGTGCGCGGGCTTTTCATTGCGGTGGCTTCTCTTTGTGGCAGAGCACGGGCTCTAGGCACGTGGGCTTCAGCAGTTGTGACACGCGGCTCAGTAGTTGTGGCTCATGGGCTTACTTGCTCCGCGGCATGTGGGACCAGGGCTCAAACCTGTGTCCCCTTCATTGGCAGGTGGATTCTTAACCACTGCGCCACCAGGGAACCCCCCCAAAATCAAATTCTAAATGAAGCTTTTTTGACCTGTGGCCAACTTTGGGATTTTCCAAAGGGCCCCTAGTATATTTGTTCTCTCTCCTTATAAAAAGAGAAATGTGAAGCTAATTAGGCTTATTTGATATGTTAAATTACAAAGGAAACATTGCCAAATAAGAAGTGATGTTTAACTTTAGCTTATCTTTGTGTGGGTATGTTATTAACATAAGTGTTCCAGAACTTATATAAAATTCCTAAAAATCTGATATGCATGGTATAATGTTACAAGTTATAATCCTAGTTACCATCTTTTTTTTTTTTTTTTTTGGATGGATACTCCAATGGCTTTATTAACTCCTTTCTGGGGATGGCAGGACGTTATAGCTGGAGAGATGAAAAGGAAGCCAGGAAGCTGTGGTCTCAATATGGGTCATTGAAGGGGGTGACCTGCATCTCTCGGGACCCTCTTCCCATCCACCGTAAGCATGGGCACGATGAATAGCAAATTTTTATTCAGGGCATCCAGCTGCTTCATCTCCTCCACGCTAAAGGTGAAGTCAAACACCTGGATGTTCTGAAGGATATGGGAAGGTGTGACACTCTTGGGGATGCAGCTCACTTTCTGCTGGACCTGCCACCTGAGCAAGATCTGAGCTGGAGACCGGCCATGATTTTCAGCCAGTGCCAGGACCACTGGCTCCTCAAGCAGGACAGGCTCATCAGGATCACATCAGGATCACGCCAAGCACGCTCAGAGGAGCCCAGAGGGCTATAAGCAGTCACCTCCAGGCCGCGTGCTTGGCAGTGGGCAATCAGCTCATTCTGAGCCAGGTATGGGTGGCATTCCACCTGCAGGACAGCTGGGCGCACCGAGGCCACACTGAGCACATCATCGATCTGCTGACTGCTGAAGTTGGACAGGCCCAGTGCCCTCACCAACCCCTTAGCCACCGGTGCCTCCAGAGCCTTCCAAGTCTCCTTGTAGTGGGTGGAGTCATAGCGTATAGTCCCATCAGCATTCTTAGGAAAGGGGTTGTCTCCCGCTCAAAGGCATAAGGCCAGTGCATCAGGTACAGGTCCAAATACTCCAGCTGGGGGTCAGCGAGTGTCTTCTGGAGGTCAGGCTCCACATCCTCAGGGTGGTGATTCGTGTTCCACAGCTTGGAAGTCACAAACAGCTCCTCCTGAGGCACCAACTTGCCAGGTCCCGCATCCTCCTTCAGGGCTTCCCCAATCTCAGTCTCGTTGTCGTAGATAGCACAGTCAATGTGGCGGTAGCCTATACTCAAGACATACTTAATAACTGCTTTTACCTGGCCAGGCTCGCTCTTCCAGGTGCCCAGTCCAATCAGGGACATCTTCGTCCAGTGTGCAGGAGGATACAGGAAGCCACCATTGCCCCCTCGGCACGAGCACAAGATGTTAACAGGGAAGTATGGCTTTTCAGCTCAGTCCTGTGCCCTGCTAGCTACCCAATGGGCCTCAGCTTCCCAGATTCCTAGTTATTGTCTTAAAAATGTTGGGTGTCACAGAAATAACCAAATTTCCTTGTCAATTTCCATTATAATGAACTCTCATCAGATCTCCAACCATGGGCATTTTAAAGTTCGTTGTCATTTACAGACAATTATTGTTTTACTTTGATGCTTTTGCAAAAGTGAGATTCCTGGAAAGGACCCTACCAAGTGTTCTTGACCACTAACATCAGTGTCGAATTACAAGGTGTGAAAATGTGGGTACAGGGACTTCCCTTGTGGTCCAGGGTCTACGACTATGTGCTCCCATTGCAGGGGGCCCAGGTTCGATCCCTGGTCCGGGAACTAGATCCCACATTCCACAACTAGGAGTTCGCATGCTGCAACTAGAAGATACTGCATACTGCAACGAAGATCCTGCACGCAACAGCAAAGATCCCATGTGCCACAACGGAGACCCGGCACAGCCAAATAAATAAATAAATAAATAAATAAATAAATAAATAAATAAAAATATATAGCAAAATAAAAGAGCCAAATTTAACACAAACAAACAAATTAAAAAATTTGGGTACATGTTTCACAACTGAAGAAGACCCCACCTGACATCTGGCCCTGTTTAAATGCCAAAGACCTCAAAATCCAATTGACTAGGAAGAGAACTAGGCAACAGTGAGGTAGACTGCTTCCTCCCAAGAAGTCAGATTAAGAGCATTTCCTTCCATTCTTCCTTCCTTCTCTGACCATCCTTTTCCTAATTCTTACATCATGAAGGTCTTTATTGTTCTCTTCTCCACCTTTTGGCTTGCTCTAGCCTGCAAAGATAACTGTTCACCTACCTCAGACCATTGCAGAGAAAGGTAAACTAACTGTTGGACTGGCTTGGACGCTGGTGATCCTGTAGTTCTTTCTTCCCGTCACAAACTTCTCCCTGATTTATAACACCTCGATTTCAACGGAACAAGCGCACTGCATAAACATTTCTGGGGTGGGGAGACATAGTTACGCGAAATACATAAACAGGCTAACTGGCTTAAAGCAGTGTCCCCAGTTTTCTAGCTGGTTTGGATCATGGGGACCCTGGCTCAGGAGTACTCTCCAAACCATGGACATTGTTTTGTTGCTAGTAATTATTACTGTCTCCCTGGTAAGCTGGGTTCTCTCAAAAGTTTTAAAGGCATGTGGGCAGCCACTGACCAGCCAACACATGGTCTCTCTCTGACTGAAGTGACAAGAGAACAGAAGAATGGAACCAGGGCCAAGAATACAAGCCTGACATCACCTCTTGTGAATGCTACACTGAGAGCAGAAGAGGCAATGGTGACTGAGGGTCATGTTAGTACTGATATTTTTGACCAAACCTCTTGAATGGTCAAGAGGATGAGAAAAGGGAGAATTACTGAAATAAATTTCTAGGCCAAAGACGGAGCCACTCCTGCCCAGAGTGCCACAGCAAGAGAGCAAAACTTAGTAACTTTGGTATCTCTGTAAATGTTCTGCTTGACCAGAAACACAGTATATCTAGTCAGCCAATCCCCAAACTCTGGGCTTTATAATTACTTTCTTGTTCTTTATTCATTTTCTATTTTTCTCTTCCATGTTCGTTTTTTTTTTTTTTTTTTTTGGCCGCCAGGTGGCTTGCAGGGATCTTAGTTCCCTGACCGGGGACTGAACCTAGGTCCTCAGCAGTGAAAGTGCAGAGGAGTCCTAACCAATGGACCGCCAGGGAATTCCCATTTCTTCCTTGTTCCTTATTCTTTATCCTATAAAAGTGTCCTGCCTTCAGTCCCGTGTTGCAGTTCTTTGGACCCTTGGGAACAAACAGTGGTGGCTTCATGAAGTGTTAAAGTATGTTTAACACCTAAATTCTCTTCCTTAATCATTTTTTAACAGTACTAATCTGTTAGAAGATTAATACTGAAGTATTCACAGGTTAAATAATGAGATGTGCTTTAAAATAATACTATTGGATGGGGCAAAGATTGATGAAACAAGATAGATTGGTGTATGTTGATGATTATTGAAACAAGCTAATGGACGCATGAGGGTTCATTATACTATTGTCTCCATTTCTGTGAATGTTTGACATACTCCATTAAGAAAAAAAGAAAAATAACATGGGGCTTTCTACTCACAGAATTTCGAGCCAGTCATGACCCGCGGTTACTTCAATAAAGCGGGTTGACTATTGCAGCACTATAATCAGAGGGACGGCTGTAAGCAGCAACGCAAGCAAAGTGCCTTACGAAATGCTGTTTTATTATTACTTATTGTCATTACTATGGTTGCCAACACTAATTAGGTGCCTCCGAGAGTTCCCGCCTCCTCTCCCTGTTAATAATGGTTTATTCCACTCTTCGGCTGGTTCTTTCCCGTGGTTCCTTCCTCCTAGTCCCGTGCTGTACCCCCCCGCAGCCCCAATGGTTTAGCCTGGCTTCCCAGGGGAAACCCGGTGGGGCGGAGCACGAGGTTTCTGAGAGCGGCCGCGGTCCCCTCTCCGGAGACCACTTGGACCGCTCCGCGTCGGGAGTGGGCAGGTAATCGTGGGGCAGGGCGCGAGTCCTGGGCTCCGACTGGCCAGCTCTGGAGTAAACATCCGGCTGGGTGGGGCGGGGCCGGAAGTGGAAAGCGAAGGAGGCGGCTGAGGCGGCTCCGGAGGTTCAGGGCTCGGAGTCGGTGCCTCCAGGTGCCATGGGCCGGGCTGGCCCGCGCTGAGGGCGACGCAGGGCGCTGATAGGGACGCGGGGCTGGGCCATGGCCGGCGCTCGGGCAGCCGCCGCCGCCTCGGCGGGGTCCTCGGCTTCTTCAGGCAGCCCACAGCCGCAGGAGCCGGGGCTCGGGGAGCTGCTGGAGGAGTTCTCCCGGACTCAGTACCGGGCCAAGGACTGCAGCGGGACGGGAGGCTCTAAGGTGAGTCCGGAGGCGCGATGAGCAGAAAGAGAAGGTCCCTGGTTTGCGACGTTGCTGAGGTCAGGGGTCATAGGACAGAGAGAGAAGGAAGTGCCCAGTGTCTGGACCCGGAGAGTAAGGGTTGGGTTTAAAAACCGAAAAGGAGGAACTGGGCTCAGAACGAGCCAAGCCAAGGAAGGACGACGTTTTGGTTTGAGACAAAAGGGTGTGGAGGTCAGAGATTAGCGCTGAGTGGCCTTGTTCAGAGATTAGAGAAGAGGCGCTGAGGAGGGTTATTCCCATGCGTTAGGTATGGGGACAAAAACCCTCATGTCTAGATTTTTTGAAGTGTAGAGGATTTATCCAGGTCAGAGATCAGAGTGAAGGGGCTGGAGGGGTGGGGCAGAATGGAGCCAAGAGATAAACTGAGTGTGTTGCTCCCTTGTATAGTCTCAGCATGACTTTAGAATTAGGCCCATCCCTTTCCTTCCCCCATAAAGCAGGAAGGCAACTCATACTCCCTCTGTTCCTTTGTCAAAAGCAAGTCTTAGTTTCTCTTTTTTTCTACTTTTGGGATTCCCTTTCAGGCTCCTTATTGCCAGACCTGGAAGGCTTCCAGTCTGGTCAGGCCATTCCCATCTTAGGCATTGCCTGACAGTCTGATGGGAATCTTGCCGACCCTGCCATCTTTCATCCCCCACGTGGTTTTGGCAGGTTTAGCATCAGGTTTTCCAATGGAATTCTGTTCCCTCCCAGGCCGTGAAACTCTGGTTTGGCTCCAGGGGTTACCTATGCTAGGACTTACTGAACTTGGCATCTGCTAGTCTGAAGTAATGCAGGGAAGACTTCAGTAATGATGGGTCTCCCCCACTCTCCAAATGACCGAGTATTTTTCAGAGCTTAGCCTGAGGACCACCTGTTTCAGCATCATCTGGGGTGTTTGTTAAAAATAAATGTTCCTTGATCCCACCCAGTCCTACTGAGTTAGAATTTCTGAGGGTGGGAATCTGGAATTTGTATTTTCTAATAGGCTTCTTAATGATACTCATGCCCCTTGAAATGTGAGGATTTCTGTTTCTTGTGAGTTTTTCCCTCCACGTTGGTCTTTTGGGTGGCTAGAGGGTCAGTGTTGCTGGGCCCCCCTACCTTCTTACACACCCCTGAAGATTGGGGTTGTAAAAAGTTATACTTGACTCACTCCACCTGGTCCTAAACTTCTGATCTTTTGCAGACTTGTTGAGATGTTACAGGTTTTATGTCGTTCTTCTGGTGGGTCTTTCCCTGAACTGAGCAAAACAAGAGCAATTTTAAGGGAGGTGTTCCTTCTATTTCATAAGCAAATTGCGTGTAAGGAGACAGCTTTGTCTGCATCTTTTACTCATTACACTAACTAGAGCTTCTAGGTACTGGTCTGTGGCTGGAGAATGGGGAAGAATCTGGAGCCAAAGGAAGATAATGGATTAGTGCCGGTTAAAGTAACCTAGAGAGGGACTTCCCTGGTGGCGCAGTGGTTAAGAATCTGCCTGCCAATGCAGGGGACAGGGGTTCGAGCCCTGGTCCAGGAAGATCCCACGTGCCGTGGAGCAACTAAGCCCGTGCGCCACAACTACTGAGCCTGCACTCTAGAGCCCGCGAGCCACAACTACTGAAGCCCATGCTGTGCAACAAGAGCAGCCACCGCAATGAGAAGCCCGCGCACTGCAACAAAGAATAGCCCCTGCTCGCCGCAGCTAGAGAAAGCCCGTGTGCTCCAGCAAAGACCCAATGCAGCCAAAAATAAAAATAAATAAATAATTAAAAATAAAATAAAGTAACTTAGAGCAGGGGTTCTTAATATTTTATGGATTGTGGACCCCTTTGAGAATCTAATGAAAGATGTCAACCTCTCTTCAAATGCTTATCATACACAGTTTCACCACTACATTGAGGGGTTCAGAGTCTCTCCTGGAGTTTACCATGTGGGTTCATGAACCACACGTTTAGGATCTGTGATCTAGCAAGATGTCTTTTCCTGGTATTGAATTATAATCACAGAGGCACATTGTCATTCCCAGAGACCTCTCCAGGTCAGGAACCGCCTAATTCTCAGAACGCCAGAATCTTCTTTATGCTCAGATCTCCTCCTCTGTGCAGGTTGAGCGCATTGAGAAGAGGTGTCTGGAGCTGTTTGGCCGAGACTACTGTTACAGCGTGATCCAAAATGTGAATGGGGATATCTGCGGCCACTACCCCCAGCACATCGTGTTCCTGGAGTATGAGAGTTCTGAGAAGGAGAAAGACACGTGAGCATCATGTAACCAAAGCGTGCCCATCTGGGAAGGCCTTGACAGCTCATCCCCGGGGTTAGGAAAGTCTGCAGCTGGGTGGGGCAGGCTCACTTTTCCCAGGTGTCAAGCCTCATTGGCATCTTTGTTTTCTTCAGGGTTTCACATCTTAGATTGGCAGAGTAGCACAGTGTAGAAGGAGGGGTTGGGAGTCACAGCCCTGGCCTCCTGTTTTACTCCTACCCTATAGCTCATTGTCCTGAGACAGCTGACTTCACAGCTCACCTCTCTGAACCTCAGTGTTTTCTGTTCTATTTTTTTCTTTTTTTTTAAGAGAGCAAGTGGGAGGTATGCTTTGTCAACATGTGGAAGGGCACTTACCGTATGTAGAGATTAAGAGCCTGAGGTCAGCGTACATGCTGGCTGCCCTGCTTGCTGGCTGTGTAACTAACTTGGGCAAGGTACTGAACCTCTTTGTCTCTTAGTTTCCTCATCAATTTCTACCTCTATTTAGAAAAGTGGCTTTTGCAGTTCCTGCTGATAAACAGGATTATTCCAAGCCTGACGTGTGTGCTGTAAGAATTAGAAATAAGAGCTACCATTTATTGAGGGCCTCCCAAGGCCCGAGTGCTTTGCGTGTGGTAACAGTTCACACCAGAGCAGACACAGAGCACCCAGCACAGGATGCAGCCCATAGGCAGTCAGTAAATGGTAGCAGTTGTTTGACACTGATAAATAATCACTGATGCTCTAGGAAGTGCTTTCTGTTGATCTCAAAGTTTGTTCCCCTAGGCGCCCTGCTTGCTGTTGATTTTAAGGGAATTCCAGAAGCTGTTGCCAACAATATCCATGAAAGCCTGGCCCCGTAGAAGCACTGTGATGATGAGTGCTATGGTAGAGTCGTGCTGCAAAGTGCAGCGGGCCATCACTGCTCACAGTGCGCCCATCAGCGCACCCAGGAACGGCTAGAGATTCTGAGTCTTGGACTCCAGAGCCACTGAATCAAAATCACAGCATAACAAGATGGCCCAGTGATTCGTACGCACTTGGAGGTTTGAGAAGCACTGCTGTAGACGAACTGGGGAGAAGGGTGGATTCTGCCTGGTGTGTGTTTCGGGAGACCTTTCAGCTGGATTTGGAAGGATGAGTAGGGGTGTCCCTGAAATGTCCTTTGTTAGAGACCAGCTTGTATATGGTCTTGATCATCAAGCATGTGGACTTGTGGGTGTTAGTGGTTATTGGGCTAGTACCCCCTGAGCAGTCATTGAAATCACAGATTCCAGGGTCCCTGAATCACAGTTTCCAGAATCTGTGCCTCAGAGAGCTCCCTAGATGAGTCTCACCTTTGCTATAGCCTGGGAACCGCAGGGAGCCAGAGAAGCCTTTCAAGTGGAGGAGTAAAATGGGAGATCTATAAGTGTGCCCTGTAATGAGGTCGTGGTGGGGTGCACTGAGAAAAAGGAATGTATTGGGAAAAGGAATTGAATGTAGATCAGAGCACTTGTATGACTGCCTCTTCTTTCTGTCACCACCATGGCACTCCCATCTTGCCTAGCAGGGTCTAGCCGCCCAGGCTAGGGCCACTGCAGTATATCCCTAACCCTAGAGGAGTTGTGGAGTTTGTTTTTGTTTGTTTGTTTGTTTTTTGTTTTTTTGGCGGTACGCGGGCCTCTCACTGTTGTGGCCTCTCCCGTTGCGGAGCACAGGCTCCAGACGCACAGGCTCAGTGGCCATGGCTCACGGGCCCAGCCGCTCCGCGGCATGTGGGATCTTCCCGGACTGGGGCACGAACCCGTGTCCCCTGCATCGGCAGGCGGACTCTCAACCACTGCGCCACCAGGGCAGCCCTGTTTGTTTTTATTTATTATTTGGTTGTGCCGGGTCTTAGTCGCGGCACGTGGGCTCCTTAGTTGCGGCAGGCGGGCTCCTTAGTTGTGGCTTGTGAACTCTTAGTTGTGGCACGCATGTGGGATCTAGTTCACTGACCAGGGATCGAACCCAGGCCCCCTGTGTTGGGAGCATGGAGTCTTACCCACTCCGCCATCAGGGAAGTCCCGTGGACTTTGTTTTTACTTTTCACTTCTTGCAAGGCCTCGAAGTGATACTGAGTGGGCGATGCCTGTTAAAGAGAAGGGAGTATGTGCATGTTCAGGTGGGAAGAAGTAGAACTTTTTGCTTCTTTACACATGCCTGGACTTGGTGTTAATATGACACTAATTAGACTGAGTTACACAGGGTAGAACTGGATTCAGGAAGTGGTTTGGTCCTCTTAACCCACCTCCCCAGTTGAGCCCATATCTGGGACTAGAAGCCTGGATGGGGATCTCTGAACGACGAAGACATGAGTTTGTCAACGAGGCAAACTGCTGCCATGAGACAGACCCCAGGGATCTAGTTGCAGGCCCTACCAGAGAGATGAAGTCCCTACCTTTAGATCTGGTGGGTAACACAGACCAATCAATGAGCAATGACAGTGTAACAAAGGCCAGAATTAGGGCAAGTACAGGTGAAGCATTGGGAGACAGTGGTTAAAGTTCTGCACTTGCTAATTCCAACTCGTGTGTGAGCGTAGGGTGGGGGGATTGTTCTCCCATTCCACCAACTTTCAGACGCCAGCGTTGTGTTTTACAGATAACATTAGATCCCACAGGTTAAGGGCTCAGTCCCACAAGAGAGACATAAATACACAAGCTCACTTTCATTCATTCAAATATGAGTATCAGGTGCCTGACACAGCCCAGTGCTTAGCACAGTAAGGGAAAGATTCTGAGGCCAAGAGATAAAAATAAAAACAGGAACCACTGAGAACAGAAACTGAATTGGTTCTTTGAGTAGGGGACCCAGGAAAATAAAGCACCAGCTAGCCTAACAAGAAAAAGGTGCCTTCCTTCACATGATAAGACTGCCCAGAGCCTCTAAGAGGGAAATGCTGGCATATTCTCTCCCTCAGTTTTGTGGAGAGTTTGCTGAATGGAAGGATTCAGCCTGGGAGAATCATATGCAGTTTCAAGGCTTTTAGAGCTGCTGGAGTGAGCTCCGTGAGAGTCGGTTAAAACAGATGGTGCTGACCACATCTGTGCAAATGGACGGAGGCCACCAAAAGGTGGGAGGGAGACTACTGTGAGCAGTACTGTGTGTGCTCAGTTTTATATTATCTTGGCATCTGAGTTTAGGCCATTGCTTCATTCTGAGGTGCCTTTTTTTTTTTTTTTTTTTTTTAATGTTTTGGCTGCATTGGGTCTTTGTTCCTGTGCATGGGCTTCTCATTGCGGTGGCTTCTCTTGTTGCGGAGCATGGTCCCTAGGTGCATGGACTCATGGTCCCTAGGTGGGCTCAGTAGTTGTGGCACACGGGCTTAGTTGCTCCGCGGCACGTGGGATCCTCCCGGACCAGGGCTCTAACCCGTGTGCCCTGCATTGGCAGGCGGATTCTTAACCACTGTGCCACCAGGGAAACCCTGAGGTGCCTTTTTATTTCATAGAGAACCTGAGTGAGGGGAAGGTGGCAGAACTTAGTTTTCAGTGAGCCATGTTTTTTCTAGAACCTGGCTGGTTGGCCTGTGCCATCCTATGGGCACCTTGAAGAGGCACCCCAGCCTTCCACCTTCCATCAAAATAAGGAAAAAAATCTTGATCGTAAAAATAACATGTAGTCACTTCTTTGTTGTTCGAATTGGTTATGGTAAGGATGTAATAATTCTGTGATTTAAAACAAAATGTTTAATAAAAATGAAAAAAAATCTTAAATCAGACCTTACAGAAAAATACACCATAGGAAGTATAAGTCCTCTTATTTTATCCCCTGTTCTCTTTCCATGATCACCAAACTCTTGGTCCAGGTTTTTATTTGAAGACCACTGTTTAACTTCAATTTCATATCTTCACTTGATAGTAGTTATTTTATTAGTAATTGGTTTGAGAATATATCTATGAAGGCTACTAAGAAATCAGCAGTGTTTTTAAAAGACTATATTTTTATTGGTGCCAGCAGCGTCCAGATATGCTTAAAAAGGCACCACAGATGTATAGGAGTTGGTGAACTTACTCATTCTGAAACAATTATTTGTGTGCACATGCTGTGCAGTGACACGGGAGCGCTAGCACGACTGGGATGTAGAAGGAATGAACGCCCTCTTGGACTCGGCCTGGAAGCTCAGCCCTTGTAAGGAGGGCACTTGAGTGTCTTCCCTCCCTTCTCTTCTGTCACCCTGCATTACTCTGCATGGCGGGGGTAGCTTCCCACTCTTGAACTTTCCTGCCTCCTGTTCCTCTTGCAACCAGAAGCTCTGACTGGCTGCTGTGGAGTCTTTTGTTAAGAATCTACGGGTGGGGACTTCCCTGGTGGTCCCGTGGTTAAGACCCTGCACTTCCACTGCAGGGGGCACGGGTTCAAACCCTGGTCAGGGAACTAAGATCCTGCATGCCTTTCAGCACGGCCAAGAAATTTTAAAAGAAGAAAAGAAAAAAAGGATCAATGGGTGAAGCTATGAGAGTAGACCCTTATTTTAGGGGTCAGCTGATTTAACCTGATTTAATATGTGTGAGTTGCTTAAGCTCATTTCTAAATGTATTTTTTTCATCTTCTAGAAGCTCCCTTATTAAACCCAGTGCATTAACTACTGTGCTTCTCAAGGCCACAAATAGCTTCTCTTTCACTACCTTTGCTCCAGCATTCCCTCCCCTGTTGGCTTTTTGGACTGTTAGAGGTAGCTGGAACGTTGGGGAGGTATCAGAGGCTCATAGCCGTGTGAAATGTGAACCTTCATCTTATCCTGCACTCTGAAAGATGACAAGAATGGCCCCATGATTTCCTGAGGGTCCCCAGCACACGTATTGTCCTACTTTTGGAGTAAGATACTGAACCCCCTAGATATAATCAACGTTCAGTTTGCTATATATGTTTCTGTATTTTAAATACCATGTCTTCAGAGTAGCTTTTTTTTTTTTTTTTTTTTTTTGTTTCGCGGGCCCCTTTTTTTTTTTCTTCTCCCGCTTCGGGGGCCCGGCTCCGGACCCGCAG